TTATTTATTATAGTAATCTATCTCTATAATCGTTTTTAGAGTATAATTCTATATCAGTTCGTGGCCTCTTTTCTGTATTTTATCAAATATTTATAGAAAATTCGTTTGTGGTGAAATTCGCCGAAAAATTAACACTACACTGGGACATGTGAAAGCTATATTTTTTTTTTTACTAAACTGGAACCTATTCGTATGGAAATTTTGGTTTAGTCGTCTGTTACCTAAAGTCGTTTGTTAGGCATGCATTTTTTTTTTTTTATAGAAATAGAAAGTGAGACTACAAATGCATTTTTATTAATGTCTTGATCATATTTTAAATAAGTAAATAATATATTTATTTATTACAACTTATCAATGATTGTTAATTTTGATTGAACGTGTATTAGTTCTAAAATGCGTTTAATTTTATTTTCGAAATTAGAATTTATTTAGTGACTACGATTCGGGGAAAGTTTCATATTGAGAATTAGATAATCGTCAATATGAATGAATCTATATTAGTTAGTGTGATGTTATTTAAATATTCAAGCTATATATATAGCTGTAAGTTGGAGAATTTTATGAATGAAGCTGTTCGTTGTTGCTGGACGATCAAAATAGAGCCTTGCTTCACAAGCTATTTTGATCTTGAGTGAATTGGCAATTATTTTTACTAGTTTTCTCTAGTTCTCACTTCAAGGATCGAATTTAATTTATTATTTCTATTTAAAAAATGGTTAAACAAATAATTGTAAAAATATATATATGTATTTTTTTTTTTGTATATGTGCGTTTACAAAAAGTAAATACATAAAGAAAAGATAATATTTAATATAGGAAAAATTGGTAATTATAATGTTTCTTTCTCTAAAATATTAATAAACTAATAAGGATCACTAGCGGATCCAGAATTTAATTTTGGGAGGGGGGGGGGGCTTCAGCCCGAAACCTTTTTTTTTCATAAAGATAACGATAATTACTTTGGAAAAACAGAAAGAAACTAACCGCCTATATGAAATGGTGTTTAAGTGATTTTAAATGTAATTACATGAACAATAATACTTTAAGAGGTATTTAAAAAAAAAAAATTCCCATAAAACATGGTTATATTTTTCCATTTTGGGGGGGGGGGCTTCAGCCCGAAAGCCCCCCCCCCCGTAGATCCGCCCGTGATAAGGATGATTATAAAAAATAGAAATAAATTCCTATTTAACTTGAAAATATTATATAATCACATGAGATTGAGTATACAGTAAAAAAAAACTCTAATAAGTATGGTCCGTGTATTATTGTGGTCTATTATTTATATTGAGCTCATAATTACCTATATATATTATTTCTAAAAGGTGTTTTTTTTTTGTCGAGTACGCCATAACTTCGCCAATTTTTCATCAAATCCAATGATTGACCACTCATTTTGAAGATATTCTTCTCCTTCACATGCGAAAAATAGTCCTACCCTCCCGAAATTTCTGAGAATAAAGTTATGAAGGAAAAGAAACTTTACTTACGAATAACTCAAAATGTATGCATTTTTTTTTCCCGAATTGGTTCCGGACAATATCGAAAATCGGACAATTATTAACAAAGATATAGTCCATTAGTTTCGGTATACTTAATAATTTCTTCCTCTTTAAAGATATTGTACATTTAGGAGTAGAATAGTCTACTACACTTTTTTTCCTGGCTGATATATTAACTTTATTATTTCTTAAAGGTATTTGTTTGTTCTTACATTTTATTTTATTTTTAATAATTTAGAAAATCCCATGATCGGGGCATTATTTTGTCTTTATTACTTTTATTATCTTTCCAGTCAGCGTTTAAAAATAGGTCCTAGCAAAGCAATTTGTACAAATGTTTTGGTCTATTATGTTTAATGGAATATTGTAATCGACTAAGAAAAAAATATTAATTCCTTCCTTACATAATACATAGGATCTACTTATTTCCGTAATGTTTTACAGTTTCTTCACTAAACAAAATTTTCTACGAATTATTCCCACGGGCCAACTATTTACCTATATTTCAATTATAGCTTGACATGTGTAAGGAGAATACGTTTAAAAATTGGTTAATTGAAAGCAGTGAATGGAATTAAAAAAAAAAAAAAAAATGTAGACCATTTACCTAATAGTCCTAAATATTGCTATGGCATTGGCCTTTTTGACAAGCCTTTTTACAAAATATACGGTGTGTTGAGGAAAATTTTAAAATAACTGTCAGAAAATATGTTTTTTTTTTTTTTGTGAACCTGTAGGTTCCATGCCGATAATCTTTGCTCAACCTGCCTTGAAAGAACTTTTTCAAACCTTCAAGGTTAGAGACCTAACACCATCTTCCCACCTACACCTCGCCCATTTACCTGTCAGTTCAGATTAATTGATTTTTTTTTTTTAAGCGATTCTTTTGTTACCAACTATTTTACACGTCCATTTTACTCGCCTCTATAATATTACTTATATTTCCTAATATATATGGCAACTGTATTATCTAAATTTCTTAATCATCGTTGTTAAATAACTTTCCATCGATGCCTTGTCTTATTAAAGTTTCGGATGCTACTGCATGTTTGAGTGAGTTGAAAACCATTTTGAATAACGTGCTGCCTTAATAATCAAATGGATTTGTTTTCTTTGTTTGTTTGGTTTTGTAAACACAGACGTATTCTGTATGCTAAAGAACCTCTATAAATAGAAAATCTGCATATATCGTATTTTTTTTTTTGTTGGAACCTTGAATTTGAATATTGATTTTTTTACGCTATTAGCATCGCACTTGTGACGAATAGTTTGTCCAAAGACTTTTTCAAACGTTTGTTAAGTATGAAATGTGAAAGGAGCAATGAGCAAATGGGGTATCTACATACAGGAGTGTCCATCTCCTCTGAAGGTCGATGGCGCAAAAACCTACCCCCATCCATCTTCCCAAGATATTTTATTGCTCAAAGTTTCTTAAAAACAGAACAAGCTAAGGTAGAATTAACAAAATTGTAGATCGTATAGAATTACACTTGCTACGGTATGTTCCATGTCCCTTAGTTCGAAAATTAATAACCCCGTCGAAATTTGCCCTACCCCCATAAAAAATTATCTTAATTATCCTTAAGTTACTGGCCTATTCTTTAAATCAGTCTCCATTTTTTAAAACAGCGGCTCTGGAATGGCTTACAAGGTTCCTTTTACTTAAGATAATATACACTTTCGTAATTTACATTCAAACCTTCCTCTGCGAATCAGTGTTCATTATAACCATTCCTTTGTTTGGATAAAATTACCTGAATGAATATTTTCCATTCGATCGAGAGTACATACTTATAGTTCGTGGCACAGGTCCCTTTTTATTTGAATTATTAACATCCGCCTGAAACTTCGTAAATAGTTTCATCTCTTCGTAACCTACAACTATTATATTTACAAAAACTCTTGGAATTGGGGCGTTTTCAATCTGGAGAGATGCAAACTTTGTCTATTTAATTAGGTACTAAAAACTCGTAAATACCCATTTGCTTTCTACTTGGGGACAAAATTTTCAAAACGCTTGCAGATTGAAAACGCCCCAATTCCAAGAGTTTTGATAAATAAAATAGTTTTAGGTTACGATGAGATGAAACTATCTAGGAGGTTTCAGGCAGATATTAATAATTCGATAACCAGACGATTTGTAAGTAAGGTATAGCTTCCTATAGCTTCCTCATGATTTTCAATGGCTAAACAATTTCTATATTTCAAAGTTTATAATTTTTCGTATGAGAATAAAATCTCCGTGAGAAGTCGTTTTCGGAAATGCAGTAATCCCTAATGCAGTAAAATTCGCGGGTTTGATATCTACGAATTTTATCCATCAGCGAAAACTGCGGATAAGTACCAAATTTGCAATCGCGTATTCTATGATTTCTGATTAAAAAAAATATCCTATTATTATTATTCTGTTATATATCCTATTATATATATTATTACATTCTGAACATATACATTTCGCTACTTTTAGAGCAAAACGTTGAATGTAAAAATTGAGTGTTTTACAGAAAAACATAAAAACTAGTATAATTATTAAGTTTACCGCAACTAATGGACTGTATCTTGGTATAAAAATTGTCTGAATTTTACAAAAAAAAAAAATTATTTTGTAATTAATTTAGTAATACTTCTAATTATCATGGGTACAATGAAGATAATTGTTGAGTTATTCACAAATAAAGTTTCTTTTCCGTCATAACTTTTTTGCCTTTAATTTTGTTGGGATGTGACTATTTTTCTCACCTGAAGGCACTAGCGGATCCAGGATTTAATTTTGGGGGGGCTTCAGCCCGAAAGATTTTTTTTTCATAAAAATAACGATAATTACTTTGGAAAATAAGAAAGAAACTAACTACCTATATGAACTGGTGTTTAAGTGATTCCTAAAGCCCTTTTAAATGTAATTACACGAATAATTATGCTTTTTACAGATAATTTTTTAATATTTTTTTCGATAAAACATGGTTATATTTTACCATTTTGGGGGGGGGGGCTTCAGCCCGAAAGCCCCCCCCCCGTAGATCCGCCCGTGCCTGAAGGTGAAGATCTTTAAATTTTATACCAAGCAATAGATCATCATTACTATTATAAGAACATAAAAATTATGATTTATTTAAGTTTTATTAGTGTAATTTTGTATTTTATTTTCCTGTGTTATTTTCGATAGTACCAGACTACTCTATATCAGTTGTATACTGCGAAATGCCACCTTTAGCAGAAATAGAATATTCAATAACTTCCTTCAAGATTCCATATTCACCGGTATGTTTTTTTTTTCCAAAAAAATTGCTATTTCGTCCCTACGTTCGTCTGCCCCCCTTCTCCAAAATTTTGGTGGGTTTACGACTTTATACGTGAGATTCTATGTGTATTTGTATACGTAAACATTCTCTTCCCCAGCGGAGAGAAGATAGGAGAAAGTAACCTGGTATATATCCGCGACAGTACGGCACTACGGCACTAGAGAGGGTAGAGCGTGCGGCGTTGCCGCAGCTCCGCACAATGACCGTTAGCTCTGCGCTGGCAACGCCGCCCTCTCTTTCCTATTGATTTCTCTTTCCTCTCTTCTGTCTCCCTCTCCATCTCTTCCCCTCCCCCATCTCTCTCTCTCTCTCTCTCTCTCTCTCTCTCTCTCTCTCTCTCTCTCACACACACACATACAGCTACACTCACGATATATCTCTCGCTCTCTTATGAATAGGGCCATCAATAGAGTATCTGAACATGTCTATTTGTACCAAGGAATAGATCATCAAAATTAATTTTGATGTATCTCAAAAAATAAATACGTTTTAAAAATTATTGCAAATCGTATATATTATTTCTAAAAGGTGTTTTTAGGAACGTCATAACTTCGTCAATTCTTCCAATCAATTACAATGATTTATCCCTCATTTTAAAGATCTTCTTCACCTTCATATGAGAAAAATAGTCACATCCCTCCAAAATTTAAGGCAAAAACGTTATACTTAAACGTTATGAATGAAAAGAGATTTTATTTGTGAATAACTCAAAAAGTATGCATTTTTTTCTCAATCGAACCCATGATAATTAGAAAGATTACTAAATTACATACAAAACAAAAACTAAATCGGACAATTATTAACAAAAATACAGTCCATTAGTTTTGGTATACTTAATAATGTCTTCCTCTTTAAAGATATTGTGCATTTAGGAGTAGAATAGTCTACTACACTTTTTTTCCTGGCTGATATATTAACTTTATTATTTCTTAAAGGTATTTGTTTGTTCTTACATCCCTCCAAAATTTGAGGCAAAAAAGTTATGAAGGAAAAGAAACTTTGTTTGTGAATAACTCAAAAAGTATGCATTTTTTTTTTTCTTGATTGTACCCATGATAATTAGAAATATTATTAAATTACTTACAAAATAAAATTTTTTTTGTAAAAATCAGACAATTTTTCAACAAAGATACAGTCCATTAGTTTTAGCATACTGAATAATTTCTTCCTCTTTAAAGATTTACTATTGTTCTGCCTTTTTTATCCTGGCTGATATATACTTTATTATCTTTTAAAAGCTTTTTTTTTTGTTCGTACGTTTTATATTTTTTAATAATTTAGAAAATTCCGTGATCGAAGTATGCATACTTTATTTTAAATAACACTTTTCCACTCAGCGTTAAAAAATAGATCCTAGCAAAAAAGCAATTTGTATTAATATTTTTGTCTATTATGTTAATTGGAATATTGTAGTCGACCAAGGAAAATCAATTAATTCCTCCCTCATATAATTCATAGGATCTACTTATTACCATTTTGTTTTGCTATTCCTCCTCTAAAGCTCTGTTGAGCGACATCGATGAGGATAAGAATTTCCCACAAACTATGGGAAATATCTAAATGTTTGTTTTCCAATGGTAGTGTTTTTGATGTTTTCTATATACTATAGTTAAAAAAAGACATTTAAAAAAAATGTTTGGCTTTGAGCATCTGGCGGTGCTTTGAAGCCCACCCCCCCCCCTGCCCCACACCCCTCTCCTCCCCTAAATGGTAAAATGTAACCATGTTTCATGGAAAAAATGATTAGGAAATTATCTCTTAAGTATTATTGTTCCTGTAATAACATTGAATAGGACTTCAAGAATCACTTAAACACCATTTCATATAGGTAGTTGGTATCTTTCTCTTTTTTCCAAAGTAATTATCGTTATATATATGAAACAAAAGTTTTCGGGCTGAAGCTTCCCCTCCCCCCCAAAAAAATAATAAATTTTGGATCCGCTAGCGTTTGGTATTAATTAAGTTAGATAATTGTAACTTTGGTTCCCATAGTCAGGGAAATGTCTAAACGCACTTTTAGATTTTGTGTTTCCCATAGTTTGTGAAATGTCTAAACGGACCTTAAAATACTAAAATATTACAGTAATTTACGGTTCACGGGGAGAGCTTTCGGGCTGAAGCCCTCTCCCTAAAAATTGGTAAAATTTAACCATGTTATATATCAAAAATATTTTAAAAATTTCTCTTATATAGTTGTAAGTTAGATTATAAGATAAATTCCTAATAAAGTCCTAAGAAAAATAAAGAAAACTAAGAAAGGCTCAGGAAGACTTTAAAATGTATCTAAGATACAGTAAAAGGAATATGTTAACCATATGTAAGAAACAAACCTTTAAGAAACTGGGGATGAGAAAAAAAAAAAAAATTCTCTTAAAGTATTATTGGTCGTGTAATTACATTTAATAGGACTTCAAGAATCATTTAAATACCATTTTATATAGGTAGTCAGTATCTTTCTTTTCTTTTTTTTTTATCCTAAGTAATTATAGTTATATATATATATATATATATATTCTGGGACTAGGCCCCTTTAGAATAACAGTATTGTTCATATAAATTAACCATAAATCTGGCCAAAAGACTTATTACTAATGAATAATAACAAAATACTAGTAATAAATTAAGTATTAATTAAGCTCTTAGGATAAATTAACGAGAACAGTTGAGTAATAATAGGTTCAGTATTACAATATTGGAGCTAAAACAATAGCAATAATAATCACTAAATGAAATTATAAAGGAACGCAAAATCAATTTTATAGGCAAAGCATTGTAGTGATGGAATATAAAAATTTAAAAAAAATAATAATAACTGTTGATATGTAAAGAAAGAAATTGTAAAAAAAAAAAGGATATACAAGTGTTCCCTATTATTTAAGGTATTACGCGTAAAGATTAGGAGAAGAAAAAATAAAATAAAGTATATATATATATATATATATATATATATATATATATATATATATATATATATATATATAAACACAGCGAGAAATGTGTTGAAGATAATTAGAAAATAAAATACATTTCAACGAAATGCAATCTCATGAATAGAAAAATTAGAAATTAAGAAAAACAATTTTTTTTATTTATGTTTTTTTAATATATATATATATATTTGAAAAAAATAGCTTTCGGTCTGAACCCTCTCCCCAAATGATATCGTGGATCCGCTAGTTTGTTAGGTTGATTAGATACATTTGAGCTTTCATTCGATGCCATTATTAATACGATGGATTTTTTTTCTTCTTTTTTTTAAATAAAACAAATAAAAAAATTAGAAAGCTGATGTTTTGTTTTTTATCGGACGCCGCCTCAAGGAAACCGTGAAAGTGGTAAACAAGCACAGCCTCCTCGATCTTTCGTCTTAAAAAGTACCTAACTATCCTGTCAGCGGTTATTCTCAATTTCTAGTCCAGTCATTTCGGATTTCGAGTAATCTCTTCTCTTTTTTTTTTTCTTCCTCCATTTTTTATCATCTCTCTCTTTGTTGTCATTTTAGATATTCTTTCAACGAATAATTTTTTTTTTTTAAATAATATTTACTCCAAATACTGAGCCGGTTTAGACAAAATATTATATATTTGCCAGATAGCTTTTCTTATGAAGAAATTGGATCAACTGGCGTGAAACTCGACCTACTTAAACAAATTAGAACCAAAAATATGTTTAAAGAATATGTTTGAGAAAGTTTTTTAAATTTCCATTTTATAAAGAGATTAAAATCCTAAACTGATTGATATGGTTAGGCAGAATATTTATTCAGCTTTCCAATGGTTGTACTTACGTTAAATTTGAAGAAAATCTTGAGAAGTTATGAAGGCTTGAGTTTACTATCGGGAATAACATTCCTCCAAGAAAATCATGTATTATAATTTTTGTTTTTGATCAAAATTTCTATTTAAGGGATTTAAAGAATACTAAAAACGAATCTTAACTTTCGTTTTCATAAAGTTTACTTGGACTGCTTTACTTAATATTTTTTCTTATTTCACACACAAAAATAGAAATCGATTGATTAACAATAACCTAAAAATCCATGCAAAGCAAAGACAAAGATTAATAACATAAATTTTACTTAAAATTATATATTTTTTTTCTTTGGCTACTAGGGCGCATTGGCTAGAAACCTCAGACATGGGTCTAATATTTTTCGACCTAGTATCATCAAGAAAACTTAAATTGAAATCTGTAATCCCATGTCCGTGACCTCTACCTTGTTAGTTCTTTTCTTAAAAAGTTTTACTAAATATATTCTTTCTTAAAATATCAATTACGCCATAATTGTGTCTTGATGTTTTAATATCAATAGATGAATCAATTTCGAATATTTTTATGCTAAAAGTTGATTTATTATAATTTTATAATAGTAAGGGCGGTGTTATTATACACATAATCCTTACTCTAACTCCACTTGAAAGTTCTCTCAATAAAGTTCTGTAAAAGAAATAATTTTTTATGAAACTCAACAAAAAACGACTCATCTCCGCAAATTTTATTGCAGAGGTGCTCTTAAATAAAACAATAACGTTATTGTATATTGAAGCAGTCCCGATAACGCATTTACATATTTGGTGGCTCAATTGATACTTTGACATGTTTTCCCGCCAATCTTTACATGAAAAAAATAAATCATAAAATCGGTTGAAAGGAAGAAGGGAGTCCCCTTTTTCATCTAGTTTGATTTCTGTGTCATTTCAGTTCCGGAATTTGATCCATGATCAAAATAACATCCTAAATAGAGGCATACTTTTATACAATATTTATAAAATTCATTCACTCGGAAGAAATCCGAGCCAAACCTTTTCCCTCACTCGTGGAAGGACACTAGGACTAGAGAGATCCCAGCAACGCTCACTCAGCCGCATCACTGGTATTAAGGACTAGTTGAGGCTGATGTTATAAATTATATAATATTGTATTAAATTCCTACCACCATGATATATTGACACACAAACATCACATAGTAGTTGCCCTTAGTTCGGGCTGAAGGCCCCCTAAAGTGGAAAAATAATTTTTTTTTTTTCTCATTGATCCATATTTGTTTATGTGGGTTATTTAAGCTAAATACTTGAAACTATCATAATATATTATTTAGCACATGTTCAGAAAAAATATTAAAAAAACCTGTAGCACTACAACCCATGAAGGGTGTTGGGTGCAGTACTATGTGAGGAAGTACTGTTACAAGGTCAACGGTTGTGCAGGAAGATGATTGGGCCGATATCACACTCAACCGCCAGGTTTTTCCCTTTAATTATTTTTTTAATTAAGGGTACCCACTTTACAGAGGTTGGGTGTGCCCCTGGAGGGTCTCCTGATCCCAGGGTGGATCTACAGGTAATGAAAAATTACTAATCATTAGCCGGATTCAAACCCAGCACCTTGAGCTCTGGAAGTCAGTGCTCACCCACTGAGCTACCCTGTTCCCTCAGAAAAAATATAAGAAATTTATATCCAAAAGAACTATTCTAACAGTTTTTTTCTTTTAATATCAACTTAAACATTGTTTGATATAGGAAATTATTTGATATCCACAACTGTGACAAATTATTCTCTAACAGATTTGAAGAAGGTCTACGACCACTCATTCCAATATGAGAAATATTTCATTATATTTTGTGACATTTCTATTAGAATGCTATAACATCTTAAATCAATAAAAAGAGAAATTTGGAATTCTGTGAAATACTGCAGTTATCATTAAGATATTTTTGTTTTTATAATTTATTTTTTGTATATTTTTATACATTATTGTGTTTTGTTCTAGCGTGGTAAGCCGGAGCGGAGGCAGCAGCAGCCACCACGGCAGCAGCCGGTCCGGAACGTGGACTTACGACAGCCCCTCGCCCCGGTACCCGCCGTCCACTCCGGACATCTCCTACCAGGAACCCGCTCCTGTAATCGTACACAAGAAGCACTCCAAGTCCAGGTATGTACCCATCTATTTATTCATCATCATTTATCAACGCTGGGGTTTTGTAATGAATATAAGAGGAAAAAAAAGAGAAAAATATTTTTTTTTGTTGGTCACATCTCGTTTATGCAGGGTGCTTTCAGAATAAATGGGTAGCCTGAGTGATAATGTACAGGATGGAATGGCAAAGGTTATCTGGTCGCTCGACCGTGGAGGATTGGTATGGCTGGTTAAGTCATCGCCGTATTGCCCTTATTGTCTTGCAGTGATTCCTCAGCCCCAGGTGGCACTGCAGCTGACGGCAGTCCCTCACCATAAGATGAAGCTCATTAGAGGTCGTTAGAGGTGAGGAGATGATGGCTTCGTCAAAATGTCATAACTTACTCTACTCTCAGTCTCAATTAAGAGATGGCTGATAAAAACCAAAATACCTTGTTTATGACTATATCACAATTCAGTGTGTTATTCATCATTTCAAATTAAAAAAAAAAAAAATTAAATTACCATTAAAAGAGAAGGTCGGAAGATTTGGTTGTGTTTGGGTGCCATTTTATGATTTTTAACAAGCAAGCATTGAGCCCTTAAAACTATTTTTCATGTTTTGATTTAAGGTGCAAAGCACTACCAGATCTTCCTTCTATGTTTTTTATTTTTTTATTTGCATCACTAGAAAATACTAAATTGAGTGTCATAATGTATTACTCAATTTTTCTGTGGCAGAATATCATAAACAACCGGGTGGCTATTAGGAGAAGGGAGCCAATCCAAAAAAAATATGAAAAAATGAGAACTATCTCTTGGTCCAAGTCAACTTCAATCAACTATCAAAGATGAGGGGGAGGAGAGGAAAAAATATTCTAAATATAACACAAAGTTTTTCTTTAAGAGTCAAATTACATTAAAGTTAATTTTTGACCAATCTATTTATATAATAGCAATACTTTGGCGTGATAAAATGAGATCAGTGACAAAAAAAATTATATATTTATTTAAATGCTTCCATATTTTAGAAAGGCCATTAAGTTTAGAGTTTAATTTACTTAAAATGAGTGCAATATGGATTGGTTCTCTTATTTTAAACAGCATCCAACTCGAGCTAGTTTTACCTCTTTGATGGAGGTAAGATGCCAGGAAATAAAACATGCTTATAATATAAATTCCTCAAAACTAATAAATTAAGTTAATTATTTGAACTATAATTTTTTTTTTTTTTTTTTGAACATTTTTTGTGTCAGCTTCTGTTTAAGATATTCTGTTCATGGAAGAAGATTAAACAGAGCTGTTGAAAAAACATCTAAGAATGTTTTGAACCTTATTTAAAATAACAAACTTAATGTTAAATTTTCTCTTGACAGGTCAGGAAGTGATTCTGGGTCTAATTCAAGCCGATCCCGTTCTAGTTCAGCGTCGAGTCAGTCAGGGTCGAGCACTTGTTCGACTGCATCATCATCTCCAACCTCCGAAAAATCCTGTTCCACGCATCACAGGTATATTTATACCTAGTCTATCTAATTTTATATTTTTTGTTTCACATATATTTCTTTGAAAATATATATGAACAAAATAAAATGAATTAAATAAGTGTGGAAACTTTCCAAAAACTGTAGCAAGTCACATAATATATATATATATATATATATATATATATATATATATATATATATATATATATAATTTCTTTAATTTATTAATTTTTGTGTTGATGAAATTTGTTAGTAGTAATAAAATCTATATACAGTTTTGTATTATTTTATTAAGTTCCCACATGTTCATTGTCATTATTAATAATGAGGGTAATGCAACTTTGTAGTTTACTTTAATAAATACTTACCAAATACTTTATGATAATGCCTGAAATCTCATTCTTTAATTTAGCTAAGTGTTTTAAAAATATTTTCAACTTTCAAAGACCAATTTTTCACTCCTCCTCCCTCTCTCAAAAAAAAAAAATTGTCTAAAAGAAAAACTGCATCATTGAATGTTTTAGCTTAGTTTAGATTGAATAAGTTTATAACTACATAAAAAATTTGTTCATTTATAACATCTTAGCAACAATTTAAAACTTGTATATTAACGGTTTATAGCAAAATGTCATTAAATAACATTCCAAAAGATTAAATCACTAAGTACTAACTATTATGAATTTCTTCTCTGTGAAACAGAACATTGTGTGGTTACTGTAATTGTACATATAATATAAGAGTTTGTGTCATTTCGATACACTTACCACATTTTTATATTATATTTTAGTATAACTTTTAAAATAGTTACATTCAATGTTGTTTATCATTTTGTTTATAGTCAACAAAGTAATATAAGAAGTAGTGGAGCGCAGCCGAGCGCCGCTAATCATACAAATAGCAATAGCCCAGCAGTACACTCTGAAGATAGAAGGCCGCTGGCGATCTGTGTAAGAAACCTTCCGGCGAGGTCATCAGGTGAGGCAGAAAAATTATATTTTAACATTTATTTATTTTTTTGCTCTATATGCTTATTTGTATAATACTGAAATATTATTTATAATTTATTGTTATTATTTTTTTAACAGACACGAGCCTGAAGGACGGGCTGTACCATGAGTACAAAAAGCATGGTAAGGTGACGTGGGTGAAAGTGGTCGGCCAAGGCGTCGACCGCTATGCCCTAGTTTCCTTTAAGAAGCCGGAGGATGTGGACAAGGCCCTTCAGGTCTCGCACGACAAATTGTTCTTCGGTTGTAAGATAGAAGTAGCCCCGTATCAAGGTTATGATGTTGATGACAATGAATTTAGGTGAGTCGTGAGTCCAACATTATTTATATTTAGTTATTAATTTTATTTTAAGCTCTTTGGAATTTCAATTAACTTCCGTACTTTGTTCATATTTTTTTATTTGTAATGTATTTTTTTCTTTTTAGGCCATTCGAGGCAGAACAGGATGAATTCCATCCAAAAGCAACTAGAACCCTTTTTATTGGAAATTTGGATAAGGACATTACAACGCAGGAAATTAGGAAACATTTCGATCAATTTGGTGAAATAATTGTAAGTAGCTCTCTTAACTGATTAATATTAGTCCTATTTATAAATTCTCCTCCTAATCGAGGCTTTTTTATATATTTTATTGTTGGATTATTTGAGAGGTTTAGAGATGAAAGTGGTCTTAGTCATGTTTGATTTATTTTAAAAAAGTTAATTAGTAAAAAAAAAAGCACTATTTCAAAATTAATCCAACTTGACCTACATTGCTATCATTCTAACCTCATTTTTTCATATATTTAAAATTCATTTATATAAATGTTGATAACATTGTCAGAAAGTAAAAGTCATAAAGAAGTCTCTTGTCATGCCCCGTTCTATGTATACATAAAAATTTAGTTAAGCTGAACGGTGCTGAAACATTCATTTGAATTTACATTGGTTTTATGTTTGTAAAAAAAAAAAATATATATATACATATATTTATATTTGAAAATAAACTTAATAATTGAAAAGGAAAAAAAATATGAACAATATTATTTTTAAAAAAGTAGATAATTTTGAATCAAAAGTCATAAATAAATAAAATGAGTGTAGTTTCAAAATGAGTGTTGAATCCGTAGGATATTGATATAAAGAAGCAGGGTACATCGTCGTCGTACGCTTTCTGTCAGTTCTCGGACATCGGGAGCGTCGTGAGAGCTATGAGAAGTTTGGACGGCGAGCACGTCGGCAACAGCGGCAACAGGGTCAAGTTAGGCTTCGGCAAGTCCATGCATACCAGCTGCGTTTGGGTCGACGGAGTCGCTGGTTAGTTCACTTCATTAATTACTGTTATTATTATTATTATATTATTGTGAAATTTAATAGCCTACAGTAGTAAAAGTAATTGTTTGTTTTAAAATAATATTTTGATGTTTTTATATATTTTTTTTTTTTTTTAGAAACCGTGTCAGAAAAATACCTTAGTCAACAGTTCGGGCAGTTCGGTCCTGTATCACATGTTGTTATAGATCGGGCAAGAGGCCAAGCACTTGTATCTTACGAACAGGTGAATGTTTTAAAAATTGATTTTGTTTTTGTGATAATTTTTATTATTACCTCCGATAGACACTTTCATTGATAATATATAATTACAGATTACCTATGCGCAACAAGCAGTGAAGGAAATGCGAGGTGCTGTTCTCCGTGGTAGGAAGTTGCAAGTAGATTATGCCTCCAGAGAATGTCAGGAATCTTTCTATGACCATATGGAGAAACAATCTAGTTCGTCTACTCATCCACCATTTGAAAACAGGTTATTATTTATTTTGAAAACCATCATACAATTAGTTATAATGGTAAGCGAAAGGTTCTTACACTTTGTTTTGTTTTCTTCGGTCAGCAGCAGTAGTGTAGCAGGTTCTCCTCAAAATCTGCGGGTGTTTGAGAGTCCGTCCTCTTCAACTACAGCACCTTGTACTGGTACAGGTAATTCTGTTACCAACAGGTACAACAGCTGCTCTCGGTACAGCACCAGCAGGAGTAGTAGCTATGCTCGCAGTTCCTCTCCTTCAAGGTCCAGGCATTCTAGCAATAGATTTCAGGATTATCCTTCATCTACTGCTACAGGCCAGGAATATGAAAGGAGGCCATCGTATAGGTATTGGAAATCTTTTAACAGCAATATCCAATTCAGTTTGTATTAGACAGGATGATTTAACTACATTGTTTTTTGTTTTTTTCAGGAGTTATGAAGATATGACTCAAGTAGAAGAAAACAATACCCCCTCTACGGGAACTGGAGATATCCGCCATCTTCAGAAAGAAAGAGTGTCACTTCTCGAACAATTAGAGGATTGCACGAGCTCAGGAGAGGAAGGCACCAATAGAAGAAGGTGCAACAAACACAGGAGGAGTCAAAGTGGAGAGAGTTCGAGGCCAGGAACGCCTTTGTGCGACGAGAGGCCCGAGAACTTAGGTCCTGTTGAGCCGAGAAGGCCGAGAGAGTCCAGGCCACCTGATCCTCTATCCCTTCCCCTCCCGAGGTTCGCATCTCAGGTGTTGAGCCCACGTCCTGCACCCCCTAGTCCGCCAGCAAGTCCTCAAACCCATTCATCCTCCTCAGATTCCGAACCGTCTCCTGAGTGGGAGGAAAGGTTGCGATCACTTGATGAAAAATATGAAAAGTGGAGCAGTGGATCCAGGGCTGGGCTCACCAAAGTTGACCTATCCACTCTCAAAGTGAGGCATAAGCTCCTAGAGCTTGACCTCCATGAGCTTCAGCCTTCAGAAATTGTTAAATCAGTTCTTGCTAAGAGGTCAGTGTTCGATGAAGACTCCAAAAGGTTAGAAAATTTTGGTGAAAAATATGAACCTAGAGAATTTGTACCTGCCAGGCCAAGTCTGCTCAGGGGAAGACTAGACCTGTCGCCAATGAGCTCCCCGATCGTGAAAAGCCCGTCCTCGCCAGCTGCTAAGGGATTGCAGTACCCCTTTCCAAGTCACCCACCAGTTCAACCGACGACGAGTGTGGCCACAACAACGGCACCTACGTCGACTACAGTAACGGTGGCAGCAACGGAAATCAAGCCAACAGCTACTACATTCCTTACTAATTGCACTCCTGCAAGACAATTCCCTCTGCCTAAGATCTCATCCCCCCAGGCAGAGAAGTGTGAATCAAATATCAGGTTGACTTGCACTAAAGTATTGCCCTCTGCAGTGTCAACAGTAAAGCAGGCAACAGTACCTTGTAAACCACCTTTGGATATTAAGAAAGAGCAACCACCTCCGCCTTTAATAACCAAGGTCAAGACCAATACCCCTGTACGGAGAGAGAGCTCCGATGACAAGAAAGATGAAAGTCGAAGAAAATCAAGAGACGAATCTGTAGAAAGTGTCAAAAGTGGGGATAGTGTCAAACGTGAGGACACAAGTGAGTGTGATAAAGTTAGAGATTCCCAAATTACTGAAAGGCGGAAAAGTATCTCAGAAAAAAGAAGAAGTAGTTCTGAACATAAAGAAATCAATTGTGAAAGATCCAAGGACCCTTCTGAAAAACGGAGAGGTAGTTCTGAAACTGAATCAGAAACTAATAAAAGAAATGAAAACAAGAAAAGTTTCGAAGAAAATCATATCGAAATGCCAAAACTCCTTTCAGAACCTGACAAAATTAGTAGAAAAATTGTTAGTGATAGTATCGAAAGGAGAAAAGAAACCGAATCAAACATTAGGCCAAATGGTGATCAAGAAAAGAAAAAAGATGTTTTCGGTGTTAATTCTGAAAAGGATAGAAGAAGAAACCGAGAGAGTATAGATACATCTGACAATCCGAAACATAGCAAAAAAGTACCTGATATAAAAAAGGAAGTAGATTCTGTAGACAAGCGTGATAAGGACGAAGACGTCAAGGTTGTCGAATTAGATAAAAAGAAAGAAACTTGTGATCAAAGCAATATTCAGAATGTAAATAGGCATAAGGAAAAGAAGGATCACCAGGACAGAAGAAGAGATAGCTCTGAACATTCCGAAAAGAAATCTGAAAGAATTAGTCCCGAAAATTCCGAGGTTCATAGGATAAAAGATAAAAAAGCCAACCATGATCTCTCCGAACCTAGGAATTCCAAAAAACAAAACGAAGAAAATGAAATCAAAGTCGAAATCGTCAAACATAAAGATTCCGAAAGGAGAAAGAATTCTGAGAATGAAATATCCAAAGAACATTCCTTGTTTAAGAAAGTTTTTGGTTTTGCAGAGAGGACTTATGGGCATCATAAAGACAGAAGGGATTCAGATTCCACTGCTGTAAAAACAGATGACACCATTAAACATCGAAGGGATCATTCAGAGAAGGATAGGAAAAGGGATAAGGATTCAGATCATTCAGAATCGTCATCTTCTTCAAAGCATAAATCCAGAAAAAGTCCTGACCAACCAGAAAACAATAGGCATAAAGAGAGGAAGCGTTCAGAGTCCTCGGAAAAGAGAATTAGAAAAGAGCTTGAACAATCAGATGACCATAAACAGAAAAGTGATCATTTGGACACCTTTCATAGCAAATCAAGGGAGCGAAAAGAAGAACGTTCTTCCAAAGAAAGTTCTAAAAATGTATTTCATTCCGAACATCTCAGCGATATTAATACCTTTATTAAGCACAATGACAGACGAAAGGATCCATCTCTTGATGAATCTAGAAATTCAGAATCAGACTCCAATGATCTCAAATTGACAAAAGATGGAGAAAGTAAAAAGGATAATGAAATGTTCTTTGAGAGGCGGAAAGAAGAAAGTGCTGAAGGTAGGAGTAAAGGTAGTAATGAAAGGAGAAAAGATAGTGTCGATAAATATTTCGATAATGATAAATATACTGATAGGTCCAAAAGAATCAATGATGAGTCAGATCTCGAAAAGAAAAACGATTCATCTTCAGATATAGTCAAGTATAAACATGAAAGGCATAGAGATAACGATAGAAAAAGAGACCTCATAAATATTGAAAATTGTCGTACTAAAGAACCGAAAGAGGAACATCGCCAAAGAGAAGAAGTAGGGAAACATAAAGATGAAAGAAAATCAGAACCTGATCTGTTTGATTGTTTGAAGTCTAAAGATGAAAATTACCGATATAGAGACTACTCTAGGAAAAAGGACAACGAAAACCAAGAACATATTAGAATAACAGAAAAGAAGAAGGAAGAAAAGGATAAGAAAAAAGATCGTGAGTCACAGGACAGTATATTTAAGGTCAGGGATTCCGAAGATAAATCTACTGAAAGGGAAATAGAAAAATTGAAAAGGAGCAAAGAGTTTGATTTAACTGAGGGAAAGGTCAATGGTGATCACGATGATTATTGCTTGGAAAGTATTGATTATAGGAAACCAAACTTCGATGAAGAACATCATGCTAAGAAAGAAAAAAGGAAAGAAAGAAGTAATTGGCCTGCTACCATTGGATGTAAGAGAAGGTTAAGTTCACAAGACAGCTTGGAAATAGTGGATGATGCCAAAAGGAGTAAGCCTGAAAGGAGGGATTCCAAGGACAGTGGTAGGAGCAGTGGTAGCAGTAGGAAGAGCAGCAGTGAAAAGCACAAAGGATTTACGAAACTTCTTGAAGAAAAGATCAAAGAAGACAAAGAACGTGAACAGAGAAAAAAGGAAGATTCAATGATTGACCCTAACCTCCAATGCGACGACAAAATGTCTAAACCAGCTATACGCAAAGAGAAAAGGAATAGTGGAGAAAAACGGAAGGAGGAAAGAAAATTCAAAAGCCGGCCCAGGGAAAATGGCACTGCTAGTGAAAGTGACTTGTGCAGTGGTGATGAAGAAGCAAAAGCCAACAAGAGGCAACATTCAATATTTGATATTGTCGATGATGAGCCAGCTTATATTTCCATGTATGATAAAGTCAAGGCTAGATCTACCAAGAACATGCAAAAGCAAGAAGAAGAGAAAAGGCAAGAAAAGCTTAAAGAGAAATTCCATCAGCTCAAAGCAAGCAGAGCCAAACGAGAAGAAAAGAAAAGGTCAACTTCTTATGATGAAGACTCAGATTCAGAAAAAGGAGGGAGCAGAAGATCAAACAAATTGTTAATAACTAGTTCGGAAGATGAAGCATGTTCTGAAAATGATGTAAGGGTGAGAACAAGAAAGGTTCTGTGCGATACTTCCGAAGATGATACTATAACAACTCCTCGTTCGCGCAGTAACAAGTATTCAGATTATGAAACAAAGAGTTCAAGGAAAATAATATCTGATATTTCAGAAGATGACTCCCTTTTAAAACATAGTACACCTAAAATTAAATCATCAAGAAATATCTCTTTCGAATCGGACATGAAAACCAGAAAAATAATGTCTGATACATCAGAAGATGACAGCACTAGACAAACAACACCAAGGCAGAAACCTTCAAGGATTCAGTCCGATGATAGTGAAGGTGACTTAGGTTTTGAAGATTCTGTCAAGACAGAGCCGATTGCTGTAGAACCCTTCATAGAACCCGTTAAAATAACAGATGTGTTTACTAGTCGTCCAGTTGAGATGAACCATTTTGCCAGCAACGATCATGATCAAAAGCAACTCCAACTGCAGTCTTCACCTGAAACTTTGCTTAGGATGCCTCTTTGCAACAGTGTTTCCTCTGAACAACCTAGGAAGAAGAATCATAAGAAGAAAGCTAAGAAGAAAAATTATGAAGTGAGTGAAGATGGTACGATAATAGTCAGAAAGCATTCATCAAAGAAGGAAAAGAAAAAATCCCACCGGGATGATGATGATGAGAAAAAATCTAGAAAAAAGAAAAGTGAAAGAGAAGGCTCCTCAAACAAAAGAGAAGAAAAATTTGAAGATATTTTTGGGCCATTATCTGATGACTCTGAAAAAGCTGCTATGAGTAAGTGGCAAGTATCCCAAGTTTATGGTTCTGATTCCGAGTCTGAAAGGGAAAACATCAGGAAAAAAGAAAAGAAACGTAAGGAAAAGAAACTAAGAGAGCAATTAGATGAAGCTGGTCGAGCCTTAGAAGCAAAACTGCTTGATACATCAGAGGATATCACTGAAGAACCTGTGAAAACAAAGAAGAAGAAGAGGAAAAAATCTAGAGACGAAAAAATTAAGCATCATCGTATTATTGATGAAGAAACATTACCACCCCTCTTTTCTGCTAGCATTGAACAAGATTCTACATCTGATTATAAAAGATCAGAAGCTGAAAGTGTAATAAAGGAATCCGAACCCGAAACGAAACAAGACACAGAAAGGGAAACAGATGTTGAAAAAGAGGATGAGGAAAGCAAAATGGAAACAGACTTTGAGGAAAATGTTAAAAAGGAGGATATATCATTACCTAGACAACATTCTTCTTCTCTCTCTAGCTTACTGGACAGCCCTCCTGCACAACTAACACCTACTAAGAAACCAGATATACCTGGTTTTGGAACAGAAGTGGATGAAACTATTCATGAAACCGCGGTCAAAAGTATTTCAGAATCCACCATTGAGGATTCTCCTCTTCCTCAAGAAAAATTCGATGAAAAGCCGAAACAAGAAGATGTAACTTCTGGAGACAAACCCACACCTATCATTTCACAAGAGGAGACTGAGGATGCCGTAGCGGCACTTCTAATGGAAGAAACTTTTGGTTCGAGTTTTGAGAGATATTCTGACGACACCACTAAACCTGATACTCCTGTTTCCGAACCAGATTTGCAAATCGATACAGATACTGAGGACACTTTTGATCCAATTGATTTTTCAAAAGCTACAAAATCTCCTGAAACAGCAAATGTTTCTTTTTGTCCCAATAATGATACGAGAGAAGGCTTAGAGGAAAGGATTATGTCTCTTGCTTGTTCGACTGAGTCCTCTCTCAAAGAACAAGAAAAAACACAATCTATTTCTACTGATGTTAAAAAAGATCCACCTTCTGACAAAACTGATTCAGAAACAGAACAGTTAGAACACCCATCTGAGAAGCCAGCAATCATAAAATCACCAGTGATAGAAAATAATAAGTCTGATGACCCACTGAAATCAGTAACTAAAGACCCAATCCCGAAAATATTGAATGAGGATAAGCCCATCGAAATAGATGATGATGAAGATGAAGAGCTTGAAACAAGTAAGAGTGATAAAAACAGTTCTTCAGATAAATTAGAAACTTCTAATTCTAGCTTAGAGACTGTTAAGTCTGCCGAATCAATAGAAATGTCTGATAAAGTTATTAAAATAGATGTGAAGGAAGTCCAGGGTAACAAACATATTGATAATTTGTCTCATACTACATTACTAACTCAATCAGTAAAACATCAGCCACAGCTTCAAAACCAGCAAAAGGAACAGTTGATTCAACAGCAAGAGCACATTCGGCTTCAGCCACAGCTCCAAAACCAGCAAAAGGAACAGTTGATTCAACAGCAAGAGCCCATTCGGCATCAATCGCAGCTCCAAAACCAGCAAAAGGAACAGTTGATTCAACAAAAAGAGCACATTCGCCATCAGCCACAGCTTCAAAACCAGCAAAAGGAACAGTTGATTCAACAGCAAGAGCACATTCGGCTTCAGCCACAGCTCCAAAACCAGCAAAAGGAACAGTTGATTCAACAGCAAGAGCCCATTCGGCATCAATCACAGCTCCAAAACCAGCAAAAGGAACAGTTGATTCAACAGCAAGAGTCCATTCAGCATCAATCACAGCTCCAAAACCAGCAAAAGGAACAGTTGATTCAACAGCAAGAGCATATTCGGCATCAGCCACAGCTCCAAAACCAGCAAAAGGAACAGTTGATTCAACAGCAAGAGCCCATTCGGCATCAATCACAGCTCCAAAACCAGCAAAAGGAACAGTTGATTCAACAAAAAGAGCACATTCGCCATCAGCCACAGTTCCAAAACCAGCAAAAGGAACAGTTGATTCAACAGCAAGAGCACAATCGGCATCAGTCACAGCTCCAAAACCAGCAAAAGGAACAGTTGATTCAACAGCAAGACCCCATTCGGCATCAATCACAACTCCAAAACCAGCAAAAGGAACAGTTGATTCAACAAAAAGAGCATATTCGCCATCAGCCACAGCTTCAAAACCAGCAAAAGGAACAGTTGATTCAACAGCAAGAGCACATTCGGCATCAGCCACAGTTCCAAAACCAGCAAAAGGAACAGTTGATTCAACAGCAAGAGCACATTCGGCTTCAGCCACAGCTCCAAAACCAGCAAAAGGAACAGTTGATTCAACAGCAAGAGCACATTCGGCTTCAACCACAGCTCCAAAACCAGCAAAAGGAACAGTTGATTCAGCAGAAAGAGGTGTTGCAAAAACCACCACTCCAACAGTTACAAAAGTCTCAACAGCCACAGCAACCGCCATCACTTCAACCTCAACTTCCATTGCCAAGTAAGCATCAACCACAGGCACCACAGCAACTACAAAGTCAGCATCATACTCAACAGCAAGTGCAAACCCAGCACCAGACCCAACAGCCAGTGCAATCCCAGCATCAGACTCAACATCCAGTTCTAAACCAGCATCATACTCAACAGCCTGTACAATCCCAGCATCATTCTCAACATCTGGTACAATCTCAGCATCATACTCAACAGCCTATGCAAACCCAGCATCAGACTCAACTGCCAGTGCAAACCCAGCATCATTCTCAACATTCAGTGCAATCCCATCATCAGGTTCAACAGTCAGTGCAAAACCTACATCATTCTCAACAACCAGTGCAAAACCAGCATCAGACTCAGCATCCCGTGCAAAACCAGAACCAGACTCAACATCCAGTGCAAAACCCTCTTCAGCCACAATTGCCAATGCTACAAAAACAACCAATCCAACCTCAACAATTCCAACACCAACAGCTTCAAAAACAGCAGCAATCACATCCTCCTCAGCAATTACATCACTCTCAACACCAGCCGCATTTGCATCAGCAACAGATTCACCAACAGCAGCAGGTTATCAAACCAGTGCTTCAAGAGAAGTCTGCAGATCAGCCCACCAATGCACCTTCTGTTGCTTCTACCAACTTTCAGAAATCTGAAAAGATTATCCACCAGCAGGTTATGCCACAGCACCACAATACTGTGTTAGTTCATCAAGCTCAAGCTCAGCCTCAAACAGCGCAGGTCGTGAAGCCATTGAGTGTTCAAGTCATAAATTCTCCAGTGATTAAGTCATTGGATCAAAGTGTTTTGAAGCATACTCAACCTCATCCAAAACTGAACAGTCCTCCTGTGGTCCATGCACCCCAGACAACGGCAACTGCATCGTTACAATCGAAGCCTCCATTACATCATATCTCTCCTTACCAAGGAAGGATGCCAAACCCTTTACCACACCTTATTCCTCCTCACCTCCCTGTTAAACCAACTGGTCAAATGTCTTTGCAGACTCCTCAGCTGACTCCTCTCGTTAAGGCAGGTTTGGCTACATCTCCTAGGCCTCTTGTTCATACAATACAGAACCCTCAGAGTACAATACAGAATCAGAAACAACTTCACGTGGTGACTCAAAATCTTCAACATTCTCCACAACCACCTGTAAGTCCTCAAAATTTGAAAGTAATTAGGCCTGTTCAAAATCCTAATATCAGGTCACCAATGCCACAACAACAATCTCCTATTAGACCTCCTTCGGCTTCAATACCATTGTTGCAGACGGTCAACACATCAGATGCTACCTTAAACAAACAATATCATGTAAGACCTCCTCAGCATTTGCCTAATACTCATCTACTTCAATGTAGCCCGAGTCAGGTTCCTCATCCAGAAAAGGTTATGAATCTTTCACCAAGTCTGCCTATTCAAAGTGCACCTGTTGCACTCACTCAAAAAGGTGGAAATGTATCTACAATAAAAACTAATGAAATCATCAGTAAATCTCCGTTTCAACCAGAAAATAGTGCCGAGAAACAGAATAATATCCGTAGTGTTGAATTTAATACTAATGCTGTGCAGGAATCAATGTCGGTGCTACAATCTCCGAAAATTCAGGTTAATTCAATTGAGTTGCCAAATAATGAAAACCCATTACCTCTAAAGAAGACGACTGTAGACGAAGTTCAGCAAATTAGGCCTCCGCTAATTGAATCTAAGCCTAACACAAAAACCAACATTGATGAAAACAAGCCTTTGAATGCGGTCATACAAGATCTCACCCTTAAGGCAACTAACAAAGTTTTAGGCAATACACATCCTAACACTACAAATATGGAAATAAAATCTGAAACTCCAAGACCTATAGATCAAGTTGTTCGAGAATTACAGTTGCGGAAAAAATCTATATCTGCTCCTGAAGAATCTGAAAAGCCTACTCCTATAAATGAGACTAAAGTCAAAGAAGAAAATGAAGAAAGTAATAATGATGTAAATTCCAATACAAACTCTTCTCTAAAGCAAGAAGAAGAAGAACCAATAAAAAAAGAACCTTTATTGTTGCCTGATGAAAACAAAAAATCTGATGAACTTGTGAAGACGGAAGTGAAAGAGGAAAAGAGAGGAGACGAAGTAACGACACCTAAGGAAGAGTCGAAAATAGAGAAAGAGGAGATTGAGATTCCTAAGACACCACCGAATGCTAAACTTGAAGTAAAGCAACAACTCTCTCCTCATAATCCAGATTCAAAAACTCCCAAATCCTCGAAAGAACTAGAACAAGATATTCCGTCTTCTGATGAAAGAGGTAATTTAGAATTTAACTCTTTTTATGTCTATTACTTCACATTTATTGATATCTGAATAGCTATACTTATGAAAAACATGGTAACTACTAAATGATCAAACATAGATTTTTAATGTTATATCAATTATTTCTTATCTACTTCAAAATAATGACAAAAAATCAAGTTGTGTGAAATTTTTTACTAATATTTTCCTTAATTTTCAGATTCTTCTTAACAGAAATAATTTCACACTTCTGATTAAATTTTTAATTTATTTATTTATAGAAATTTCTTTTTTCAGGATTTTTTTCTTTTAGTTGTTATCTTGAATAAATCATAACTGTTATTAAGAATTTCAATAATGTTTAAATAGCCAAATGATAAAGATATCATTATTGTTGAAGTTTTTTGACTAATTTAGTTAATTTCTTTACAGTTATACCGAGCGAGAAATCAATACCACCGAGTGGAAGTGGCCGTGGGCGAGGTGGACGGAGGAGGAAGTTGGGGCGAGGTGGTGCAAGTGGCGTGACTACAAGAAGAGGCGGTCGCCACGCTACTGCAGTAGTTAGCAGTCCTGCCCCACCTGCTCGACCACAGGTCCCGGCTGATGTGTATGAGTTCCGGGATGATTCGGAAGAGGAGCGTCCGCGACTGATACTGACCATTAAACCTGAGCAGCCGTCACAGTCTTCGTCATCAATAGTTCCTTCGACTCGCAAATCGAGGCGGTTGCAGGTAATTTTTTTAACTTTAATTATTAAAAGGAAAAGGTAAAAATGTGGAAAGACACTTTATTTATTTATTTATTTTTTATATCCTTAAAAGTTTTCCTTTAAAAATATTTACCATTTTTTGTAACATTGGATTTAAATTCTGTACTTATTTTTTAGGAGAAGGATGGAACAAGGACGATGATTGATGATTCAGTTGAAGAACTAATAATAAGAGGACCTGGTAGACCTAGTAGGCGAGCAACAAGGAGTACTGCACCCTTGCTCTCTACACCGGTTGTCGAAACAACTAGAAAGTCACCTAGAAGGAAACAAGCTGTCGCCTCACAGCCGGTCCGAAGTGAACGTTCGCCTACTCCTCAACCAGTAGCCTCTCCGCAGAATCCTCCTACGCCTCAACCCGGAGTTCATACTCAACAGCCTACATCAGTTCCTACACCAGAACCACCTGCAGCTGCTCTGGTGTCTCCATCACCTCAGGCGCCAGTTCCGCCTCCTGTACAACCGCCACCAGTGCAGGTGACACAGCTGGTGCCACAGAAGCAACCTGAACCCGAAGTGGTGGTGCTAGCACCTCAGCAGCCTCTCCAAAAGGAACCTCCAAAATTACTTAGTCCACCTCGAACCCAGCCACAAATCCAGTCTCAGCCTCAGCTTGCCTTGCAGCAGCAGCAGCAGCAGCAACCACCAGTGCCTCCGCCTCAACAACCAATTATATCTCAAGCACAGCAGATTGTCAAGCCGATCCACAAACTTACACCTTTGTCAAAGCCTGAAATAAAGGTCGGTCCTATCATGCAGCAGAGGCCAGGGGAGCCGACAAACCTCATCGACCCAGTCACTGGGTTGTTAATCCCAATGAGAGAGGGAGAAGAGGGGCAGTACATTCCTGTCGGTGGCATCGACAGTGATGCTCCTCCGGAGAAACGGATGAGGTTAGAAGACGGGATCACCAAAGCACCTGTAGCTGCCATCAGGCCTAGTGTCGTAAGACCACCTCAGCAGGCCCCACATGCGATACCCAAGCCTGCCTCGCCTCCTCGACTCCCTCAAAAGGTAATATTCACAATAATATTATTTCAGTTTAATACATATTAATATAATAATGATAATAAAAAATATATGATAAAATATAAATTATAAATCTAGAAGGAAATAGTCCAGAAGTTGGTCGAAAATCAAATTCAAATTATATTTAATTATTTATTCAATCAAGTTGCAACCCACATTGTAGGATTTACTGTAAGAGCAAGGTCCTCCGGCTCTTCAAAACAGGTTATGGCTCATGCAGCAACGGTGAAGACCTAAACTGAATTAACAACATTTTAAATATTTTTTGTTGTATGAGTATAAATTATGTGATGGTTTTTCTGACCGACTCCCAGGCCATCTCCTTGAATTAATGTATTGTCAGTGCATATATAAATTATGAATATTATGTATTATAAATTATATATTATAAAATTTGTAATTGAGAAGAACTCGTATGTAGAGTTCTTATCTTATATAGATTTGTATAACTTATATTGAATCGTATGTTCCAGCCCGTAGTCAATAGTACAATACCAAGACCACCAAAAGCTCACTTGTTGCAAGCTGTCGCCGCAGAGCGGGCTAAGATGATGCCTAGACCACGTCCAAAACTGGTTCCTCCTCAAGTGCAGCAAATCCAAGCTCCTAAACCACCTACACCGATGACTCCGAAGGCCCACATCTTACAGGCCATCGGAAGTGTATGTATTTTATAAGTATGATGATTATAATATTATAAAGGAAAGGAATACGAATCCTATTAATAAATTACTTTCTGATCACAGGCTGCGCAGGCAAGAGAAGGTGTTATTGGTTCTGCAGCGCCACATCAAGGGTCTATATTAACTGGTTCCGTAGCTAGCCCGCCTCTTAGGGTGCACCCGCAACCTATGGTTACGGGTGCGAGTAGTACAAGGGTAAGTTTGCAACATATTAAAATTATTATAAACAAAATTACCATTTTTCCACAAAAAATGAATGGTTCATTTGTAATCAGATTAAAATATAAACCAAATTTGTTGCTTTTTTATGTCACTTCATAATTTATTTTTGCTTCTATCTTCATGATTGGAGACTTAATATTTTTTATTTTAATAATCATTGTATAATTAGACGAAGACAATACAGTTCAGTACCTTTTTCCCCTCTGTTTTCAACAAATTTTTTTTTTTTTTTTAGTTATTAATGCCCTTGTGTTTTGAAATGACGGACAAAAAATGTGTCACTATAGATTATATCGCCACAATGGCTGTAATGAATTCATGAAACTTTGCTAAAGTCTTCTCCTTCAAGCATTTTTAATATATGTATACAACATACTTCCCGAAATGAGACTGAAAAAAAAATGTGACAATGGATTCATAATTTTATGTGCGAATAACTCATAAAGTAAAAATTGTTGATTGATTATAAATAATCATAATTATTTTATTTCAAATAGATCTCTAAGGAGAAGCCAAATTGAGATTGGTATTTTGTATTCGAAATAGGGTAGGAGGTTCGTTTTATGTTAGGGGCCAACCTATATTTGATCAAATATAAAGTATTTAGTGAAGTGATATAATTTATGCACAAGGTACATGAGTGTTATGTTATTAAATAAGCATTTGATTTGTTTTTACAGTTTGTTGAAAGAGCCGGAGGTCGATTAGCTGCGGAAGGAGGCTGCATCGTCGTTCCGTCGGCATCACCCCAGCCCCCTCCAAGAGGGCAGGTCATGCAGGCAGGCCTCCCCGTTCCGGCTTACGAAGCCTCATTGGTAAGTGGAAATGTCATTCTCATAGCTTTTGCTCAACTGTTTTTGTACTTTTACCTTAATTAGCGTGTAACGTTTTGTGTTGTTTTATTCTTCTTAACAGCTTGATATGTTTGGTTTAACAAAAAAAAAAGTTTTCAAATAAATCAACTAACATTTTCTTGTTTTGTTTGCATTAACCTCAGTCGATTTTTACTAATCAATATCATTTTTTAATTTTCTTTAAAGTCGAAACAGCCTTAGTTATTTTTTCTTCTGGTTTTTATCTGGTATTTGAAAAATAATAATTATGCGAATCTATAGCTGGATTCACACTATATCCACGTTATTTCTTTGTTTTTATGAAGAAGTTTTTATATTATCTGAGTTACTCGAGGGATCTTAGTGTTATTCTTGTTTTTTTTGCATTTCAATAGATTTTTTTAAATTTATTATCATAGGCTTCAATAAATAGGGATATTTTAATTTTTAAAAAGTCAATAATATATGATAAGTATCTCAGGGATATCATAAATCCTAACCATTATGTCTTAGAGTTAATCGCTAGAATTAGTTTGAGCCAGTTATGTTCCGAAGGAGGTCTTTAAAACAGACTTTGTCCCGTCTCGATCTGTCAACTTACCAACATAGGAGCTTTGAAATCTAATTTTTTCAATGACTATTGTTAATGTAGTATGAATTTAAAGATCGAAACTATGATTCATCACTTCTCCATGAAATTCCCTTCCTTTTTACACCTTGTTTGTCAAAATCTGTTTTGAAAGTGAACGTTTTCACTTTGCATGAATTTCCCTTTGTTTGATACCTTGTCAAAATCTATCTCTCATGACTGTCAGTAAAGCAATTTACACTCCCACATTATATATAGTGTAGATTGGAAAAATTATATTTTTAATAAAGATTTTATAAAAGTGTTCTATTTAAAGTATGTAATCTCATCACGTACTCACGAATCTGTGTGAATCCAGCTTAATCGATCATTGTAACTTAAAACTGAAAGGTTCTCTCAAACTTTAAATTTTTAATATAAGTTTTTAAAAATTATAATAAAATTACGGATCTTGAAGTTAATAAAAATTGAAATTTTCTATTAAATTTAAAGTTTCTATAAAAACTTCTATATAAATTTATTGTATTCGACTCTTGATAATTCACAGTTAAAATGTTTATGTATGGAGTACATTTTAATATACTCTAAACTATCTTCTGTGAAAGTATCTTGTCAAATTCACATTTTCAAATACATATTTGATATGCATTATTTAATCTTTTTTTTTTTTTTTTGGATATAATTACATTTTATATTTTATATCCTATGTTACAAAAATTAAACTGTATTTTTAATTGATTCACTTTTTATTTTCTGAGAAATATGACTTTTTAAGTGAGTTAACTATAGAATTCAAGCCTATAATTGAAAATGATTCGGTTGCTGGTTTATTTTTGATAAGTATAGACCATAAGTGTGGAGCATTTTTATGATTAGAGACCGCATCAAGGTTAAGGCTGTCACTATCGGAGACTGCAATAATAGTTTATATTTTACTGTTGCTATTTTTATAAATAAGTAAATACACAGCTATAAACATATATTCAAAAATTTTCATAACCTAAATAATTAAATATTAATTAATTCTAGAGCTAGGTTAATGACGAGGATTAGAGGCAGCATGCGGTTTAAAAATGTTTATATGTTTAAAAAAATGCCCTAACAAGTTGGAGATCACCAACCTGGAACTATAGTTTTCATGACAAATTAGTGCAGAAATAAAAGTACCCAGTATCCTTGATGGGTCGTTATGATACAGATTTATTTATTTATTATTTCCGATAATTAACCTTTGTAAGCAACAAAAAAAAAAATAAAAATAAAAAAAAAATAATAATACACCCCTAACCCTCTCCTAAAAATTTGAGGTTTTATCGATATATATTTTAATATAGTTGGTTAGGATTTGTTTCTATTTCTAATAATATAACAATTCATTTAATCCAAAGTCATACTTTATTTTTTCTTTCACCGATATTTCAGCGATTGAGGCCACTTTTCATGGATAACAACTTAATTTTATTTAAATAAGTATTTTTTCCCCTTTTGAAAAATGGTCCAAAAGATTGAAACATTGTTGAAAGAAAAAATAATGTACAATATATATATATATTGTATTAGGTTTTATTTTTATTATGGATACGTTTAATCCGTAAATCGAATGAATAAATACCCTTCTGCCATTCTTTTGTAGGTATTTTTCGAATTTCTTGATGCATTTACCGAATTATCGAGAGTCTACTGTAAAAATTTTTTTTTATTAATGTTGGCTCGAATTTTAAATATTAAAAAAAAAACACTGATTTATTCTTTTTCTTTTTTTTCAATTCTGATTGATACATGAAACTGTTAGAGAAAGATATAATTAAAATAATAATAATAATACGCGTTGGTATTGGATGGTATTGGTGATGGTTTGGTATTGGTTTACTAACAGCACGGTGTGGTGGCGGAGCTGCTCCCAAATCCGCAATGGCCTCGGCAGCAAAGCCCTCCTCCTGCCCACCAACATTCTACCCAAACCCAGGTAAAGTTTTCTCTCTCTCTTTTTTTTTTTCATTTTTCTCTTCTTTTTTTTTTCTTTTTCTCTCTATTTTTCTTTTATTTTTATACTCTGCTCACGCTTGCCTTTCTATATCTAAAATTTTGTTCGGCATGGATAATTAAAAAAATAAAATAAAAAATGTATTATGGAGAGTGTAATAGAGCTGCGGTTATATTGCATCTCTGTTTGTGAGGAAACATCGGCGCAGTTAAATTTTTTTTTTTGCTTATTTTTAAAAAAATGAAAGTTGCTACCGTATTATATTTTGAATTTTAAATCTTAATTTCAATTTAAATTAATTAAATTCAACTATTTAAAATCAATTTTTTAAAATAATAGTAGGTGATTTACTACCACAATAAAATTTTATAGTCCGTGGTGCAGACTCCCTTTTTATCAAATTAGTATTATCCACTCGTGAATAGTTTTATCTCATCGTAACCTACTTTTTTATTTATAAAAATTCTCGTAATTGGGTCGTTTTCAATCTGGAGAAGTTAGTCTATTTAATTAGGTACTGAATATTCATGAACACTCATTTGCTTTTCACTTGAATCGAAATATAATTGTATCACAAAATCAAGAAAAACCGTGCCCCACAAAAATATTAGACCATTTGGCAGGATCTCTTTTTGCCAAATGGTCCTGTATTTTTTCAAGCCACCTTTTTTTTTTAATTTGTGATTTAATTATCTTATGGTTTGAGCGGAAAGCTTTTAGTGCCTCATTATATTAAATAATTTAATGACAAAATGCTCCATTTTTGAGAATTTTCATTGATAAAAAACTTGTAGGTTGCGATAAGATGAAGCGATTTACGAAATTTTAGGTGGATTTTAATAATTTGATAAAGCAGACATTTATAAAATTCATTTTAAAGAAGAAAATAAAATTATTCATAATGCTTCTTTGCTGCAAAAGTTTTATGACTCAAAATTCATGATTTTGCAGGAGATGAAATTTTACATTCTTTTTTAATTTCTATTAAATTTAATTAATAAATAAATAGAGTAATTTATTCATTTTGTTTCCAATGATCTGGTAACAGCACTGAAGTTTTTTATTTCCTACATTGTAAAAAAAAGAAAAATGCTCTAAAACCCATTTTACTGTCTGTTTGGGAGTACCATTTAAGCATATCCCATGATCATCCAATTTATTATTTCTTAATAAGTCACCTAAAGAGAAGAGAGGTCAACAATTAAATTGAAAATAGACAATTCCTTTATTTTAATTTTATTTTTTTTAATAAAACAGTAATGATTTTAACATTCTAAATTTATGTTTACTTCTCTATTTGTATATTGCGTTGCCGAGTTAATTTTTGAATTAGGGTTGAGTCTAAAATTTGGAATCCTTTTTATGAAGGAGGGGGAGAGAGGCTGATAAATTAATTTTTTTAAGAATTTCGTCATAAAATACATAATAATTTTTGAAATATTCAAGCATTCAAATTGTAGTGTTGAGTAATTTTTTTTTTTTTTCTGCTTTATTGAAAACTCTATTTTTGGTGTTTATTCACTTCATTATAAAATGAATGATTCCATTAATGAATAATATTAAAAATTTTATTGAATGTGTGCTTAGGTAGATTATGAAGTATTATTTATGAATAATAATACAGTTGACTCTCGATAACTTGAATTAATTAAAAAACATAAAGCTTGGAATTTGATGTGCTTGTGCACCTGTTCCTATTCCCTGGCTACCAAATCTCTAACCACCTTCTTAAAATTATTATAGAATAAAAAAAATTATAATAATTTTTATTACATTAATAATTAAAAATTGAACTATTTGTTAAATTATTAATCTGAAACCGAAGTCATTGTGAAGATTTCTGTTGTTATTCTTCCATAAAACTTTTCAAGACATGTAGTGAATTCTTCTGACATACTTCTACGAACGCTAGGATAATAAGTTATATCCTAAAAGATATACTGAATTTTTCACATAGAGAGTGCCTCAAAAAGCTCTCCTTTTAATGTTAATTTCGATGCAATATAACCGCAACCTCTTAAGAATAAATTTTGCACGGCTTTATACCTGAGCTTGATTCCTATAATAAATCCAAAATCCTTACATAATTGCCTCATAGATTATATTTTAAATTTTTATATTATATTAATAATAGTTTAGACAAACCTAAGCATCCTTCTTTAAGGTATATTTAGAATTTTAACAAATTAAATAATACCAATTTAATAATTAAGGTTTAGATATTATTGTAAGATTCAGAAACAATGCCTTCGTTTCGTACTAACCAGTTATATTCTAAAAAGAAAAATATTATTCATTTAAATTGCAAATTAGAGTCAGAGATACCTTGACAGTTACAAGCTGATATTATGTATAAAAGCAGCTTACATCTAAAACTAACTAAAAACAAACAAAATGACTTACAAACGCTTGGTAAACAACAACGAATGGGATGTTATTCTTTATTATGGTTTGAAACTTTAAAGGAACATTTTAAAAAAAGTTCCAGACTTATAGTAAAAGTTTTATATGGCGGCGGGGTGGTCTAGTGGCCACGTTGCCCAGCAACCTCAAAACCGAAGTGAACTGGAAAAATATTACGAGTTCAAATCCTGGTACGCGGTGGAAATTTTAGCTCGGCATAATTCCACTGTCCTATCCCCCTGACTGGGAAAATCACCTCTGTGTAGCCTAAAAGGCAAGGAAGAGAACAAAAAAAAAAAGTTTTGCTTGTATATTTTGAAGTTCTTCGAAAAAGTTCAGTTAAATGAAAAATAAGATGTAATTGGGCTTAGATTAGAGTTATTTATTTGTCTTAAATGAATTACACACGATTCTAATGTGTCGTTTGTTTAAGTCGCTATGAATAAAAGTCATTTTTAGATAGACTTTTTAGCAAAATCGAAAGAACTTTCAAATTAAAGTTTTTTTTTAATAAAAGTTTTGTAAAACCTTGACTTGAAAAGTTGCAAGGGAAAAAGTTCAACTGAAAAGCTATCGACAATTAAAATTCCAGCTATACCAAAACTTTTTAAAAATAGAAGTTTTATTTCCGTTTTAAGCCCTGGTTTTAACATTTAATTTACTGTAATTGTCGAGACTTGAGGCTTTGAAATCTTATAATAATACACTAAAAATATATATGTATTTTTTTGAGATTATGTTCTTGTCAATTAGGGTAAGACCAGACATAGCTAAGGAATTTTTTTTTTTTTTTTGGCTTATGCCGCCATAATTATTATAATTATAAACTTCTCCGTTTGGCTTTTAGAATCTCTAGGGTCTCCTTTTTCTATTTAACACTTTAAAATTGAAAAAAATATTCAGTTATGCAGGTATTACTACAGTTTTAAAAAAAAACTTTTTGCACTAGTTTTGGCGGGAATAGCGAATAGCCTTCCTCTAGGAAGGCTGGAACTTAGACTGAAATGTCAGCTCAAAAGAAAATAATTTTTTTTAATTTTTATTTGTGTCCTCTCACAGTAACTACAACGCCTAGCTGTAACTTTCCAACCAGATAATCCTAAACATTATTTGATAAATATATGATTAATTTAAAAGCCATTTAAAAAAAAAATTCTTAGAAAAACAGAAAAAAATTTGTCATAAAAGTATAATTTATAAAACTTATAAATTATAAGTTTTATAAATTATACTTCCTAGAGGAACTAGGTTATATACACTCGTGAATATTAAAGCAAATCCCCAGCACTGGATATAGACTTTTTTGAGGGTGTTTAACTGTCGTTGGGAATTCGGGAATCTAATACCTTTTGTGACATTGAGTGAGAAGAAACAATAAGAATATATATTGAAATGTGGGATTTAGTAAATACGCTTTGAATGAATTGACTCATCTGGTTTGTTATTCTTCAATCTTGAGGCATATAGGACAACTAAATAAATAAATGACTTTTCATTCCTGTATAACAAAATAATTTATTTCTACAACTGTAATAAATTGACTCTCTTCCCAGGTATGTCTTTCCGCCTCAATGTCTCAGCCTCAAGTGCCCTCTCTCTTCTCTGGTGTCTTCCTCCAGCTGTTCCTACCTAACCGGACCTTTTTCCTCTTTCATCGACTGTTTATCGATATGAGACTTTTCAATGAATAATTTGTCCACTGCACAATTGAGTACAATTCATCGTGCAACCTCACATTCCTATATATTCCTTCTCATTCCCTCACACAATGTCATATAAAGGAGTAAATACTAGGGGGATGTCTACTACAAGACGGGGTCGGTATCAGTAATGGACAAACCTCGAAAAAATTCTTTAACCACAAAGATAAGATAACATAAATGTACGACTTACTCTTAGCAAAACTGTTAGTAGGAAGGTATGAAACACATTGATCTCGAGAGCACTATAGAAACAACAATGACGGGAATTTTAAATTTTCTTTTGGGAACTTTCTTGATACAGTTGTCAATAAAAAAGGGTATTGTTCTTCAATCTAGAAAGATTGAACCTTTAAATCAACAAGGAAGATTATTATTTACATTTAAAGTCGAACATGTCCATAACTGGTACTTTCACCCTATTTAATTTAATTTCTTAATCTAAAATGTTCTAAAGGTATACAGTTTATTTAATTCATTATTTAAAAAACGCATATTATCCCCTCGGACCCTGCACTTTTCTTATGATCCATCCAGTCTTCATGATCTTTTTTTTTTAATTAATGATATAATAATAATAAAAAAATACAGCATCTATAATCCTTATTCAATTATTAAATATTTAATTGATAATCTTAAACGCTACAAATTTATAGCTACAGTTGGGGTTTGCAATCATAGTAAAAAAAAACAAATAAAAAAAAAATTATGTTATTTTGGGCCGACGTTTTGGACTAAGTTTCTCATATCTTCTTTAGGGCAGGGTACTGAGTCAGTACTCAGTTGATATCCTATATACGAGTAACTTTGATGGTCTGGAACTTAGACTGAAATGTCAGCTCAAAAGAAAATAATTTTTTTTAATTTTTATTTGTGTCCTCTCACAGTAACTACAACCCCTAGCTGTAACTTTCCAACCAGATAATCCTAAACATTATTTGATAAATATATGATTAATTTAAAAGCCATTTAAAAAAAAAATTCTTAGAAAAACAGAAAAAAATTTGTCATAAAAGTATAATTTATAAAACTTATATATGTATATTGTATACTATTCAAATTATTATTTTAGGCTTTATTAATGTTTATTTTTCTCAATACAATTTTTTACTAAACTTCAATTTCTTAAATTATTTTATCTAAAAACATAATATAGTCGACTAACCCAAAATGTCAAGTGAATAAATAGTCGAGAAGTGGTATGAAGGTTTCTTATTCTTCCTTTACCACTTTCCGATGATGACTATTCTGTGTTTTAATAAAAACTATCAAGCAGATATTTGTATTTTTTTTTTTTATGTGTTTAATATTTGTGTTCTTGGAATTAAATTTCAATGGAAATTAATTATAGTTTTCTGTTTTACAGGGTGACGTCGTGCAACACGTGAGTGGCTATGGGCACCATATTCAACCCGCGCATTATGTGCACCCTCAGTTGATGTACCAACAATATTTGAGGGAAGCAGCCCTCGGACAGTCCCCATACCACCGTGCCCCAGGTAAATTATATTTTATATTTCATAAATGAATAATAATATTCATATTCCATAATTATTTAAATTATATGGATGAAAAATATGATCAGTATTTGCAGTCAATATATCTTTGAGGAGTTAGCTGACGTTTCGGCCCAAATATGTGGGCCATCGTCGGGGCTATAGTTTAGAAGTCGAGACAAGATTTGATTGTGAATCCTGACAATTTTTTCATCCTTATAATAATGTTATATTGCAAAAAAAAAATTCTAAAATAACTGATTAGTAAAAGTAGAACAACGATTGCACACCTCACTTAAAATTTAATTTAAAATTTCCGATCTGCATACATATCATCATGTGTAAATTATCTATATAAATAAAATAAAGTTTTTTTTCTGTACATTGAATAGAATCAATCTGTTCCATGATATCTTCCCGTTTCATACATAACAGACACCAAATCCACTTTTATAAAAATTTTTTGTCTGTCTGTATGTCCGCATTGCCCAATGAAATTTTTTCAGGAGTAAGCTCCGCAATGGCTGATGGTAGAGTTTTGAAATTTTGACATTATATTTAAGTTTGCTTGACTTAAAACATAGGATTTAAATGAAACAAAATATTGAGTAGAACCAAAGTTATGAATTCTTGAGTAATTGGCAGTTACTTATTTCGATTTTCATCCCAACCTACTTTACCGTGAGCCACATTTAAAATTCGTACTATTCAACTGATGGAAAAAATTATCATAACTCAACCGGAAAATTCCGAAATACCGAACATCTGTTGCTTAAAACACACTCATTTTTCAACTTTGTCCGATCTTCCTGTTCAAGGTGTCATTCGATCCAACTTCCTTAGCCTAACAAATGTTGTCACATACATTTTTAGGATTAACCAAATGGATGAGCCAGAAATCGGGAAAAAAAGAGCTCCCAAAAATGTCATCCTGCCCGCCACAATATTCAGATGAAGTTCTTTCTAATTTTACACAGATATAGGTAACTCAATGTCCAATGTTATTGTGGTTATTTTGCGAATAATTAGAAGACCAAACTAGTTTGATAATCTCAAAGATGCTCCCCATAAAAAGGTTTTTTTGTAAGATCATATTTCAGAAAGAAAAAAAGATTGTTCTTATAAAAATAAAAATATAATCTGTTTTCATCATAAGGTAAATTAATACAGGTGACAACAAAAACATTGCCATCTTTATATTTTTTGTTTGTTTTTTATTCAGTGTTCTGAATGAAACCACTGATCATCTTACTGCCGATAATATTTACAAAAATCCTGTATTTCTCAGAAAAAATATTTCTCTGAGTGATAAGAGTGAATAGTGTCCGTTCTTCTAAAATGGCTGAAGTGTCAATCAAAAGTATATTAATGATAAACTTTTATTTTTATGCTTTATACAAGAGAAGTAGCTGTTATCAAAGTGTTGTAGCGTTTATTTACGAAGTGGATATTTATCTATTTCAGGCGGCGTGAAGGATGTGGATGATCCAGTGGTGAGAGGCTCGCCGCCACTCGAACTCAGGCGACGGGCGTCTCCTCACGATCGTACCACTGACTCCCCGCAAGTGGCGACCCTCTACGGTAGACCTCATCTCTATCCTCCTCCTCCGGCTCACAGGCCGGCGCCCGCAACGAGGCATCAAGTCGCCACTCCACCTCATGCTAGTCAAGTTCCTCCTCAAGGCGATTCGTTGTTGGTTCTTCTTCAGGTAAGTTTTATATATATATATATATACTATGTTATATCGTCAGGTTATTGCAAAAAGTCACTAAGTACATTTTTGAAGGAGCTAAATATTTAAGTTGAGGGAAATATTTAAAGAAGTGATAGCAAGCTTTAAGAACTACAAAAAGTTCATAAACAATTTGCCAATTTTTAGTAGAAAATTCAAGTTAGGTATATATTTTTTAAAAGTATGCTGCACTTCTTGTTGAATAGAAAGTGATGACTAAAGAAATATTTAATTTATATAATAACAAATTGTTTCACTGTAAACTAGACAAAATTTACTTAAAATTAAAATAGAGTTTATCATTGTTAAAACCATGATCTTCAACTATACTTACATATATCCCAATTTTAGAAAAACTTTTTGTTTCATAGACTTTAAATCCATATTAATCAAGTTCAAGTTGTATAAAAAATATATATATATATATATATATGATTTTAATCCATATACAAAAAAACTTCAATTAGTCGACACCAGCCGACTTTACCCGAGCGTTACACTTCAGAAATCTGACCGCTAAATCTAAAAGAAAAACACATCTAAGAAAGTTTTCACTTTACATACTTTAACATTTATTTAAAACTTCTGTTAAAGCAATTCATTACACTAAAAATTCTATTTAAAAAATTACTTTTATTCTTAGGTACCCAAACAAATGACACATTAGAATCAAGTACACATTAGAATCAATTTAAGATAAATTATAGCTCTAATCTAAATCCAGTTATTGTTTATTTTTCATTCAACGTGACCCATTTTTTTTTAAGAACTAAAATAAATTAAAGTTAAACTTTTACCATAAACCTATCTATTTACGCTGATATCTTACAAATTTCATGCTAATTGCAAAAGTAGGATTAATAATAAAAAATTACAAAATGATTCATATTTTGTGTCCTAGGCAAGAAAAAAATTGAAGAAGTATCTCTCTTAGTCGCCAGTGTTAAATTAATTAGATTTATTTATTATTTATTGCAATTAAAGTTGATTAATATTATTAAATTTACTTTTACAGAGGTATCCCGTAATGTGGCAAGGGCTCTTAGCATTGAAAAATGACCAGGCCGCTGTGCAGATGCACTTCGTCTTCGGTAACCCTCTTGTAGCTCGTGACTCTCTTCCTTGTAACAGCGACGGTTCTACTCCGCCCCTCAGGATCTCTCAGAGGATGCGGCTTGAACAAACACAACTGGATGGAGTTGCAAGGAAAATGCAGGTTTGTGACTTTTTTTTTTAATAAAGCGTGTTCTGTTTTATATCGATACTCTTCATCTTGTGTTTTGATTAACATTTGAACATTGATTTATATATATTTTTTCAGATGGACAATGAACATTGCATGTTGTTGGCACTTCCATGCGGACGGGATCACATGGACGTGCTGCAGCAAAGTAACAACCTCCAGAGTGGCTTCATCACGTATTTGCAACAAAAGCAAGCTGCCGGAATCGTAAACATTGCTGCACCGGGTTCTCAGCAGGTACGCACCATTGTTATTTAGCTAGAAATTACAAATTTATCATTTAAGGTTATTACTTTCATAATTCTTGTTTAATTTACGACTATGAAATAACTTCAGACAATCAAAATCTATCATCAATAATTTTATTCATGTTATATAGTTTGCAGTTTATCTGATGCCTGATGAAATATTCTCAGATAAATCTATCATAGTGAATAAATTAATTAAAATAAATAAATAATTTCTACATTTATAATGTCTTTTTATTAATAAAAAATTATCAAACCAATGTTTTGGATATCTCAGTCATCAGGATTCAAATCTAAGATAACAAAAACTACAATTCAACAAAATTAGTCCCTATCAATAAATACCAGGGTGGCGACTGTCCTGGAAAAATAGAAAAAGCCAGGGAATTTTCAGAACAAGGAAAATTCAGGGAGAAGTTAGGGAAGAATTGTTAATGTCAGATAATTTTTTCATTAAGTAAATATTTTTTCAAATTGAGAATAAATACACAGTGGATATCACCCATATGATATAAATAAATGACTTTGAAAGGGATAAACTTTGTCATTATAACCTTTGTAGAGAGCTGATGTAACCTCTGTCGTTATATCGGGTCATTTTTTTCTAAAAACTAAAGGTGCGTTTAGACGTTTCAAAAACTATGGGAATAATAAATATATAAATGGTTATTTCACTATGCTAGTAATTTTTGTTTAGTGTTTTTGATATTTTCGATCTGCTGTCGTCTGTATCAAGAGAAATAAAGTAAATAGTTTGATTTAGCAATAATGTCACTGTTAATTAAACTTCCTCGTGGTTTATGAAAATAAAATAAATGCATTAAAAAATGTTATATTTGTTATTTAAAAGACTGAATGTTTTTTACTCAAATAATTTTGCAATCAATTTTCATTCATGTATAATAAATAAATTTAGTTATAATAGTAGATTAATAGTTGGTTGTCAAAGATATATTGAAGGGAACCTAATATTTGTTGTCACCACACATTTTGGAAAATATCATTAAATAGGGAAAAGTTAGGGAATTTCACTTAACTTTCTGGTAGCCACCCTGAATACAAAGAAATTCTATAATATTACCACCTACATCACATTTTTTAAAATAAATTTTACCATTACCATGAATATATATTGCACATTAATGGCCTTACGGGAATTATTCTATTATAACCTATTCTGACCAAAGAAGAAGATTAAGATTCATTCCATGGGTCCGCCACAAAACCAAATTTTAACCTGCTCAGGCGTGATTCGAGAATATTATGCTTAAGCGCCATCAGCCATCATGACCTCCCCTTTTATTGATTATAAATGGAGTATTAGGTGTCTTAGAAACTTATTAAGAATTATTTTGTTTTTCAGGCTGCTTATGTTGTTCATATCTTCCCGGCCAGTGAGTTTGCTAACGATAGCCTTGCTCGGATTGCACCAGACTTGCTCCACAGGGTTACGGACATAGCTCATTTACTGATTGTGATTGCCACCGTCTAGCTCGTCGGGAGCTTCCTTTTTCGACTTTGACGCAACAACACCGGCTGCGACGTGTATAATCTTCTGGCACGGATCTCGAATATATAGTGTGACACAGTTTGAACTAATGAATTGAACATAGAGAAAAGAAGTTAGTTTTTATGTTTTTAGGAATGTCCAGCGCTATCTGCTGTCGAATTATTTTTTAAGTATTCGTCTTTTCATCTTTTTTTGGCGGAAACTGAGAACATTTTAAAAAGTGAAATATGAGTACTTGTTTATACAAATAGACTTTTTAAAACGTTTGATAGACTTGATGAATAAAAGTGTATATTTCTCGCTTTTTTTTTTATATATGTATCTAAGTGTGTACATTTTGTTTTTATAAAGTAGCTTTAAGTTGTTAATTGGGACAAATTTTTGTTTTTATTTTAATTATAAAGAAAAATTAAAAAAAAAAAAAAAAAACATGTACTAATTGTGTATAAATATTGTTAAGAAGGTAATACCGTTTATGTATAATTTTGAACTCTCTGCAATGTTTTTTATTGCATCGGTAAATGGCCACTGTATATTTGTATTGTGGTTTCATTTGTAAATATTGTAAATATTATAAATATATAAATACAGAATTAAAAAATTTATTTAGCAATAAAAAAAAAGGTTACTATTACTAAAATTGATTATCACTCCATTATAACATCGAATTACGATAATTGTTTATATTATATATGTCTATTATGTACATGGTATATCTAAAGAAAGTTATATATAAATATACAGCCATTTAATATCGAATAATAAAAAAAAAAAAAAAAAATCTTGTACAAAATGTTTTAAAAAGTGGATAAAAAAAATTATTGTATTTATTTGATATGACACTTCCAATCTTCGAAGTACAAAAAAGGTTGTTTAAAGATAGAATCGAAATGCGGACTAGGGACTGAAATTGTATGGAGTGATGATAATTAATTGACCAAATAATTGCAACTTGTTTATGATAAGTTTTACATGTGATGATTGATTAGTCTATAACAGATGTAATATTTGTAAACTCGATTAAAAAAAAAAAATTGGAAAAAAATTATTTAAAAAAAGAAACAAATCAGAAAAAAAATCCTAAAAAGTTGTATATATTATTAATTTGATAAATTAATGTCAGTTTGCTCAAATAATTATAGATTATATATTATATATATAAAAAATACAATATATATATACATATATACAAATTGCTTCTAAGTTACGAGGCATAATGTACATAAAAGATGTATCTAGTAGATGTTTGTTTTGTGTGACGTAATAGTCTGCATTAAACCCAACTTCTATTTTCTTTTTTATCTCGTTAAAACTTTGTAAATAGTTCAGAGAGTTTCTTGGGCTGTGATCTCTGCATTAAGTTGTATTGTCGTTATTTTTCAATCGATAAAAATATATTTAAAAAAATCATCCAGTGATTTAAGTTATTAAATGAATAATAAAGATGTTAGTGAAAATTATGTTTTGTTTGTGTTTATTTTGTCTTCCTTATTTTATCTTTTGTTTTTTTTTTTACCTTTGTCCAATGTGGTCTACTCACCATTTCTTGGTATGTTGTAAAAAAAAAAATTGTCTATTAATTTAATCGTAATCTTTGAGTAATTCTACTGGTTACAAGGCCTATGCCAAAGGCTCTTTTTAACTCTTTCTGAAGGCTTTATTTTTTTTTTTAGACATCATTGTACGTAAAAGACATATTTGTTTTTATTCAAGCACAGACAAATAGGCTAATGCACTTTTTTTTTTTAAAAACTCGGCTTCTTTATGAAAAAGTCATTTTAAATTTTTATGTTTTATTATTTTTGTATATTTGGCTGAAATTTGATTTTACTAAAAAAATCATAGATTAATCATATTTTTATTAATTAATTTTAGAAAATTTTTAAATTAATAAAAGTATTGCTTGCCCAGTAGTCAAAATTCAGCTATAATCATTGTTGAAAATTTGAGGAAAACCTAAATGAATTAGTGTATGTTCCTAAAAAATTTTTTCTTCACATTTATTCGTACATACACTATTGTATATAGTCCGGGGTATAGGCCCCTTTTTATTAAATTATTAACATCCACCTCAAACTTCATAAATAGCTTCATCTCATCGTAACCTTAAACTATTTTATATACGAAAATTCTGGGAATTGTTGCGTTTTCAATCTGGAGATAGTCAAACATTGTCTATTTAATTAGGTAATAAAAATTCGTAAACACCCATTTGCTTTCCACTTAAATCGTATGATAATTTGAGCAAAAACTTGAGAAAAAAGGTTGCCTTCAAAAATATTGAGCTGTTTGACGTGACCTACACTCCCAAAATGTGAAAACAATTATTGTATATGCCAAACAGCCCAATATTTTTGTAGGCCACCTTTTTTTCTCGATTTTGTGATCATATTATCTAAAGATCCAAGGGAAAAGCAAATGGGTGTGTTTACCAGTTTTTATTACCTAATTAAATAGACAAAGTTTGCTGACCTCAAGATTGAAAACGCTCCAATTCCAAGAGTTTTCATAAATAAAATAGTTGTAGGTTACGATGAAATGAAGCTATTCACGAAGCTTCAGGCGGATGTTAATAATTTGATAAAAAGGTATCTGTACCACGATTTAATACTTACAATAGAAAATAGTGCAGTACCATTTGTTTACTTTTTAGTTATTCACAAATAAAATTCTGAATCTATCATTATTTTCTTCAAAAAAAATATATTTGAACCCATTTTGCTCCTTCTGTCGGTACAAATTGTTTCATTTCAACATTGTACTTATTCTCTATATAAAGAATATTATTTGAAAACAATGAAAAAAAAATCCAATAAAAATATTTGATCGGACATGATGCCTTTAGATTTCAATTTTTTTTTTTTTTCTATTTCGTAGGGAATTCATGAAACTTTCAAAAACTCATAAGTTTAATGAACTAAAGATTATGTACTTGTTATTCGCAAAATAAATTCTGAATTCACTCCCGTTGGGTTGAATGGACTCACATTTTTCGGTCACCATTTCAAAACGACATTAGTGAATAAAGAACAATACTGAATGAAGTAAATTTAGTTATTCATAACTACCCTAATAATTAATGTAATCTTTGAAGCACTAAGAACTATTTAATTTTGGATGGAATGTATGGAAGTACTTCTTGGAAAACAAAACTGAAGAGTAAGAAGCATATCTTGAAGCATTTTCTATAATTTGACCCACCAACAAATACATTAATACACATACGAATATTTTTACTTTCACTTACCTGCAACTAGCAACAACTGAACCTTTATTCTATAATTGTAATTTTTGGATCAAGAAAAAAAGAAAACATAATATTAATGTTTAGTTTCGTTTATTGAACTTCAAATAAATAATATTACAGAATATATATTAAGCTAAGCCATGTGAATCATTAAAAAATCATCAGTCTCTTATTAACTATTCTATTTATGAAAAATCTGCAAAAAGACTATGCAGTCAAAGAAAGAACTGATTTACATAAAATAAAAATGGAATTTTTAATAGTATGAAAGCATTTACTACTGCAATGTCGAGAATTCTGAATCTCAGAGGCTATTTTTGAGATTTTTTTTTGTGACTAAGCTTGTCTAACACATCTACCTTTGGTCATATAAAATTATTGATTTCCAATTTTTCAGATAGTTAATTTCTATCCTTTGTAAATTACATTGAAGAGATCGAATGGACATATTTATTTCTCTTGGGAGAGTATGAAACCATCATTACGTCATCTTGGTTGGCGAATCGCCATGAACTGACAGGAGCTATAGATACCAGTGATGGTGGAATCTGAGATTTGTTTTTTCTTAGAGTTCTAAGAGTTTTTTCTTTTTGATTCTCCTTTGGATTTCATCAGTTGCCTCTAGAAACACAAACCAATTATTAGGAGTTACGTTTCTATTGCTTTCTTCCAACGAATCAGTAAGCTGTAAAATATATTTTGCAGGTAATGGTGGGTCATCTTTCTTCTTCTTTGTCAATTCTTTAAAAACATAGGGTATCTCTTGAATGAAGTAGAAAGTTCTGGCTTCGCAAAGAAATGAAATAATGAAATCATTGTTCTCACCTACTCTCATGTAGGAGTCGAGTGAAATTGAGAGGTGAATCAATCAAAGATGCCTTTAACTTCATTTGATGTTAGCTGGTCGAAGCCTTTATTTATTAGGATTGCCTGGAAAGATACCTAGAGCGTGGTATATAGATAAGACGAGGTATGTGCATTCATCTGCTAGATGGGACGGATTCGATCCGAATGTTTATAGAACTATCATTCAAGGTAGCTGTTAATAATAATAATACTAGAAAAACATTAGGAAACAAAGATGTTCCAAGCTGTTAATTGAAGGACCCTGTCCTATGATAAAGTTAATTCTTCTCATGGATACATTTACACAATAAGTAAGATATAGGACAGGGCTACACAGGAAAACTTTGTAGCGGACACCTATAGGGAATCAAATTTTGTTGATACCTTAATGACTACTGTTTATGATTATATATTTCACTGAAACTGCTCACCATAGGGATTGAATAATATGAGATTAAGAATGTGTAAAAATTTTATATATTAAAACCCAAATTTCCCACAGTGAAAAACAAAATTTGAACTACTTTTGAACTTCTACTTTCCGTTTCTTTGATTCAAAAAACAAAAATAATAGAATTAAGTGATGAGGATATAAATAGTGAAAAATAATATGTATCTCTATTATTGTTTATTTCTGTCTGTACTATATACACTTTACATTTCTTGTAAATCTGATTTAATTTCATCCTTGATGGACACCCTAAAGTGATAGTTTTATTCAATAGTGATAGTATTTTGCAATAATATAATGATTGAATCTTGATATTTTGTTTCATGATATAAACCACAGTTAATCAGCTATAATAAAATTGTTCTATAATATTAACAATCAGCAAAAGATTTTAAATGAAATCCAGAGTCAAAATTTAAAAGAACAACATTGAGAAAACTGAGAATGGATTATTCCTTATAAACATGAATAATTTGATAGATAGAAAAATGTAGAAATTTACCTTCAACATTGAAGAAAAAAACATTAGCCAACAGTTTTACTTTGAATTATATATACATTCAGAAGATATAAATATGTATTTAATAATACATCCTCAAATGAGCATCAATGTTTGGTTATAAAGAAAGAAGGAGGTAAACTAAAAACAACTCTTCACAGAAATATATTTTGTATTCTTCCATTATGTTTTACCATATATATATAAAATACATTACAAAATACATATCCATAATATTTATGAATATAGTTGACAGTCATGTCACTAGATCTATTCAAAACTCCACTTCATTCACTCCATACACTTTAGAGAAATACATTTATTTGCTTTCGTCTATTATGGTTTACCATATATTTAAAAATACATAACACAACTAAGCATCTCCATTTGGCCTTCTTGGTTAACTTCATTTGATGACCTCGTTCACACAATTTCACGTCGGCAAGTACCCCAACGTTTTGAAAATACGGTAAATCCCATATTCTAAGAAGATCCATAATATGACGGAAAAAAAAAATGAAAAATAAACACCAAGGGGTCACAAACTAAAAAAAATGTAAAATAAACACAAACGTGCCAAAAACTAAAATAAACACAAACGGGCCAAAAGTAAACAATTTAATAAGTGAACGTAATAAGGGACTAACTGAAAACTAAACAATGCAATAACTCAAAAGTTTGGCGGGATAAGAAGAGGGAGGTTATGTGACATGATGACATGACGTTAGATAAGATAGATAAGAAGTGAGGTTTCAAAACGGCCGCTTAGACGAGAAGTACCGTTTTCGGAGCTGTACCTTTTGAAACACATTATGGAAGGTCGTGGAGGCCTGTCGCGTTAAGAATTAAATAAACAAGCATTTAACAATGTAGCAGAGTGAAAGCAAAATATTTAGTGACCGTTTATAAGAATAAATAAAACTATTACATATCCATAATATTTATAAATACAGTTCAATGTCGATATTATGCATTCAAAACTACATTTCACTGACTATGTACAGTTATTTAGTTATGACACTTATTAGAGAAATACATAAGACATATATTATGTATTTTTATTAATGAACACAGTTCACTGTTGATACTTAAAGATGCATTGAAAACTTCACTTCACTCACCATGTACACTTTTAAGAAACTGATGATAAAAAATAGAACTAAATTTCCTAATTTCTAATGAAAAAAAAAACTTTGAAATAATGTATAAGACATAAGAGATGTAAGATGTAAGGCATAAGAGAATCAGACATTAACTTAGGCTATATAACATCTTAAGACAATATACTACATTACAGGAAGAAAATATTTCACAGAATTTAACTTATAAACACATAATGAAGGTCGTGGAGGCCTGTCGCGTTAAGAATTAAATAAACAAGCATTTAACAATGTAGCAGAGTGAAAGCAAAATATTTAGTGACCGTTTATAAGTTTAAACAATAATTTTCGTAACTATATAAAGTTAGAAGCACTATTGAAGAAAACGTTCGAATAATAGTTATAAAACCAAAACAAAGAGAGCAGCACCATCCAATAACGTATAATTTGAACTACTAGTTCCAAAACCAGCTAAAAGAGGTCAGCACTGTCCAAGGGACACGAAAACGGCAGTTAGTTCAACAAATTGCCGCAAGGTAGCAGCACTATCCAAGCAGCCACTGTAGGGAACAAAGAAATCGAATCTAGTTCTTAAAACTGCCGAAAGAGGCCAGCACCATCCAAGGAAGCAATAAAATCGTAATTCTAAACGCTGCCGCTAGATAGCAGCACTACTAGACCTCCTGGTCGACTCGAAAAGTGAGCTCCTTCGACTTCCTAATATCCTAATACAAATCGACGAGTTTCTCGCTAGGAATCGACTAAAATTCGTAGTTCCTATGTTCCGCCAACAGATAGCAGCACTATCGGTATCAGGACCGACTCGAAAAGTGAGCTCCTGTTATTTCCCACTTTCCTAATACAAAATGAAGATTCTCAACTTGGAATTCTTGCGTAGGGCGCTTCTCGGACCTGTTTTTTTAGTTTTTCTTGTTTATTCATGCCCTAAATTGATCAGAATATTCAAACAACGCCACTGCGTTGCGATTTATTTCAGTCCTTAGTATTTCTTCGATATCAGGATCGATTTATATGTTTTAGGAGCTGTACTTTTTGAAAATGACCTCCATTTTATGATTACTCCACTGCGTTACGACTTATTTCAGTTCTTTGTATTTCTTCGATATCAGGATCGATTCATATGTTTTCGAAGCGGTAGTTTTTGAAAATGGCCTCCATTTTAGGATTACGCCACCGCGTTACGATTTATTTGAGTTATTAGTATTTCTTCGATATCAGGCTCGATTCATATGTTTTAGGAGCTGTATTTTTTGAAAATGATCTCCATTTTATGATTACGCCACTGCGTTACGACTTATTTCAGTTCTTTGTATTTCTTCGATATCAGGATAGATTTATATATTATCGCAGCTGTACTTTTTGAAAATAATCTCTATTTTATGGTTACGCCACTGCTTTGCGACTTATTTCAGTACTTTGTATTTCTTCGATATCAGGATCGATTTATATGTTTTAGGAGCTGTAGTTTTTGAAAATGACCTCCATTTTAGGATTACGCCACTGCGTTGCGATTTATTTCAGTTCTTTGTATTTCTTCGATATCAGGATCGATTCATATGTTTTAGGAGCTGTAGTTTTTGAAAATGATCTCCATTTTAGGATTACGCCACTGCGTTACGACTTATTTCAGTTCATTGTATTTCTTCGATATCAGGATCGATTCATA